GGGCGGCTCCCGGCGGGGCCCCCGCCTCCGCGGGCGTGGCTTGAGGGCCCGTGTGGGCGGGGCCCGGTAGGAGGGAGTGCCAGCCAATGAACTTACTCCCCCAGAAGTCTCGGGATGGTTTCCTCTCCTGGACTCGCTCCGCCCGAGTCGCTTGCCCCCTGTTCTGTGCCAGGCGCCCTGGCAGGTGGTGGAGGCGCTGCTAGGAGTACAGCATGCGGGTCCCTGACCTCGTGGGGCTTATAGCCGTAACTAAGATAAATAAAAACGTAGAGTAGATATGGGGAACAATAAACCCGACAAAGAGGATACAGAATGTGTGGAGCAAGTAATTAGTAATGTTTTAAAAATAATTTTTTAGGGAGACAGCAGGTGGAATGGTGGTTAAGACGCTGGACACTTCCACATGGAAGACTATGGTTCAAGTCCAGGACCTGGTGGCATGCCTTCTCACTTTCCCTCTCTCTCTGTGTCTCTCTCCGGTCAAGGTAAAAATAAAAAATAAAATTTAAAAAATAATTTTTAAAAGAATTATTTTATTTATTTTAAAGGATTACTTTATTTATGTATTTATTTTCATTTGACCAGAGAGGGAACAGAACGAGTGAGCGAGAGAGTGTAAAAGTGAGAAAGCAAGCCAGCAGTTCCTGGACTTGAGCTGCCGTCGACTATGTGGAAGTCCAGGGCCCTTAACCACCACTCCACCCGCTGGCCCTATTTAATTATTATTATTTTTTAATTTGACCAGAGAGAGACGCAAAGTGAGAAAGCAAGCCGCCATGTCTGTGACTGGAACCGTGGTCGGCCACGTGGAAGTCCAATGCCTTTTATCACCACACTACCTGCCAGTCCTGTAATTTATTTTAATTAGTTGTGTAAGAGAGAATCTCACTGAGAAGGTGAGCTTCAAGACCTGGGACTAAGTGCTGTCCATAGATATGGGGCAAAGGTAAGGGACCTTCTAGGTAGAGGGAAAAGACAAGGCAAAGGCCCTAAGATGGTCTTTTCCTGTTTTGAAAAACTACAGGAAGGGAGAAAGGAGTCACTGATGAGGACAGAGTAGTAACAGAGGCAGGCCCAAGAGGGCTGCTTGAAGGCAGGTAGTGTGGTGGTTAAGGTGCTAGACTCCCATTCAAGGCCTGGAATCATGGAGAAGGGATTGAGGCAAGGCCAGCAACCCCAGCCCCTTCCCCAGGGGGGTTGATCTCTCACCCTGCCCCCACTGTCTCTCTCGGGTGAGCACATGCACCTTATGGCAAAAATATAAAAATAAAAAGCAGAGGGGCCAGCCAGGGGCTGGTGGTTAAGGCAGCTGGACCCTACATGACCAAGAAAGGAACAAAGGGCTGAAGGACAGTTTAGATTTCAGTGTCTAAGATAGGACTAAGGCCAAGGAACGTGCCAAGAGAGTGAGAGGTTGCAGGGACAAAGGAGAGGAAAAGCGTAGCTGATAAGGTTCCTGAGGTGAGGTGCTGTTTGGCATCACCTGGTGCACTTCTAATGTAGATTATGGGGCTAGCCAGTGGCTCTGTGCTTAAGGCAGCTGGATCTCACATGGCTGACTGCATGATTTGAGTCCCAGACCTGACTGCTTGAAAAACAGACCAGGCGCATGCGTATGTGTGCTCAGATTCTCCAAAGAAGAATGAGGAAGGGACTGTGACATGGCTATCCCCTTAGAGAGTTTTCTCACTCTATCTCTCTCTGTTTCTCTCAAGCAAGTGCATGTGTCCCATGGCCCCCAAAAAGTATGTTTTAAAAAATAGGGGTGAGCAGTTGGGGTAATGTCTGTGTCTCTGAACTCCCATGTCGTCGACTGCAGTTCGAGTCCCAGACCTGGTGGCTTAAACTCAAGCTGGGCATGTGTGCGTGCATGGCCAAGATCCCGAGAGGAGAATGGAGGAGGGACCGCAGGGTGGCCATCCTCCCTGGAGGGTGATTTCTCACTTTCTGTTTATCTCTGTCTTTCTGGCAAGTACATGGGCCCTATATCAAAACCTCTCCAAAAAAAAAAAAAGATGATTGCTGCTGAGGGGCCAGCAGATGAGGTAGTGGTTACGTCACTGGACTCCCACCCACATGGTTGACTGCGGTTTGAGTCTTGGACCCAGTGGTTTGGGACTCGCATCGGGCATGTGTACATCCATGCCCAGGATCTTGGGAGGAGAATGGAAAAGAAGGCGTTGCTGTGTGGCCATTCCCCCTGGGAGATGGGAGGCGATTTCTCGCTTTCCCTCTCACTGTCTCTCTCTCCCAGTAGCCCACATTCCCTAACGTAAAAACCTCTACCAAAAAAAAAAAAAAAAGGCTGCTGCCAGGGAATAATTGAGTAGGTTTTTGGGGTTTTGTCTTTAAAATGATGAGAAGGGTCTCAGAAGTGGAAGCAATGGCTGTCAGCAGAGTGTAGGTGTAATGTAGTCAGCTCTTGAAGGGGCCCATGGTTTCCTCCAGATTTCCTGCCCCACTGAACACTGTCATCTGTGATTCTCACAGATTAAAGAGCACTGCCATCCTTGGGACCAGCAGGTGGCCTGGTGGTTAAGGGCAGTGGACTCCCACATGGCTGACCATGGTTCGAGTCCGAACCTGGCGGCTTGCTTTCTCACTTTCTCACTCTCACTCTTGCATTCTCACTCTGCCTCTGTCTCTCTCTGGTCAAATTAAAATAAATATATAAGTAAAATAAAGAAAAAAAAGAAGAGCATTGCCATCCTGAGAGGGTGGGCAGTTCAAGTCCTGGTAGGCTTCAGGCTACAAGTCTACTGAGCACCTTGGGAACCAGCAGTTAGCGTAATGGCTATGTCGCTGGACTCCCATGTAGTCGACCGCGGTTCGCGTCCCAGACCCGGTGGCTTAAAACTCATGCCGGGCGCGTGTGTGTGCGTGCCCAAGATCCCGAGAGGAGAATGGAGGAGAAGGGATTGCGGCGTGACCATCCCCCCTGGGGGATTTCTCGCTTTCTGTCTCTATGTCTCTCTCTGTCTGTCTGGGGAGCGCACACGCCCTATAGTGTAAAACCTCTCAAAAAAAAAAAAAGTCTACTGAGCACCTCTAATTTGCAAAAACTGTGCTCATCACCAGAGGTACAGGGGAGGGACCTAGAGTTTCTTTGGACAAGAAGGTCCAAGGTTCAGGGTTTGCTGGTGGAACGTTTTTCTCCTATGTGGTTTGTAAGTCTATGGCTACAGAAAGGAACTACTTTAGAACCTGTCTATACTCAGACCAACCTCAGGAGGAGACTGTCAGTGTTCAATGGCGAATACCTTATCTGTAAACTGGGCCAGTTCAGTGACAGACATCAGTGTGGACTCTACTCAAGCCCACCAAGTTCTATTCAATCCTCATGGGAGAATGGATTTAACTTACTAAACATTTGACTGCCTCTTGACCCAACCAGGCTTACACACAGCTAGAAAACTTATCTGAATAAATTTTGAGGGGTGTGTGTGTTTTGATCCTCCTGTCTTAGCCTCCCAAGTAGCTGGGACTACAGGTGCTATTGTTATTGTGCCTGGCTTTTTATGGTGGGCTAGAAATGCAACAGGGGTCACCCATGTGGCCTCAGCTTGTTTCTTTTTGGAGAGTTTTTTTTTTTGCTATAGGGCATGTGCACTTGCCAGAAAGACAGAGACAAAGACAGAGACAGAGGGAGAGAGAGAGAGACAGACAGACAGTGAGAAATCACCCCTCAGGGGGAATGGCCACACTGCAATCCCTTCTCCTCCATTCTCCTCTTGGGATCTTGGGCATGCACACACACGTGCCTGGTGTGAGTTTAAGCCACCGGGTTCAGGGCTTGAACTGCAGTCGACTACATGGGAATTCAGCAACATAGCCACTATGCCAACTGCTGGTCCCTGGCCTCAGCTTGGTGAGCAGCGTGTCCAACCATGCTATCAGAACTGGGCCCTTATCTGGGCACATACAGCTCTGGGGAGTCCCAAGGCATGAACCCAGGGCTCTCTCCTGTGAGTTCAGTTGTATTACTGCTGCGCCACCAGCTGGCCTTGCTTTGGATTTCATGAGAATTTAAAACCATCTTTCCACCTTAAAGAATTCTTGTTCCTAGAGATTAGGAATCAAATATAAATGAGGGAGATTAATTTTTCCCAATGTCCCTTTTTCTTCTTTCTGGCCTCAAATTCCAACTCTGGACCAAAAAGCCCCCAATCTCAGTTTTCCTCATGGGCTCCAATCTTGCCATCCAGTTGTACACAGGCACCTCAAGTTCCATACACCTGAAGGTAAATGGCATCTAAGAAAAAGATCCCAGTAGAAATTCTGCATTCTAGGGCCAGCCCCTTGGCCAGGCGGTGAAAGGAGCTGGATCCCACATGGCTATCCATGGGGCTGAGTCCTAGATAACAACGCTTGGAAAGCACACCAGGTGTTTCAGCATGCATGCCCCAAATCCAGATGGCATAAAAAAAAAAAAATGGAAGAGATGGGATTGTGGCTGTGACCATGCTCTACTTGGGAGTGCTTTCTTCCTTTCTCTCTGGCAAGGACACATGCCCTCTAGCAAATTACCAAAACACACAAAAAAGTCTAAAAAAATCTGAAGTTGAAACTCATTTATCTTTATCTTTTGCAGGCAATAAGAGAGCTCATTCGCATACAGCGAATGAATATCAGCATCACACGACTAGTGTTTGGGTGGAAATGGTCTGGGTTATCTGCGGACTCACACTGCCACGAGGCCCCCTAACATCACCGGCTCACACTGGCGTTCCGTAGTATCCGTCTCTATCTATCCACAACATCTGACCAGTCCTAGAAGGCACTGGAGAGCATGATGGTTCCTACAGTGTGAGAAGGATTGCCGCAAGGCATCACGACGCAACCTTGTACTTATACGCTGGGTGGAAGACGCCAACCTGCGGCTCGGGGCCCCTCGCGACCTCGTCCGAGCGCGGGCTGCAAACAGCGGTCCTTTATCGATCCACTCGACAGACGCCAGGATGTCTCCTCCGTGCGGGGTTTGGAGCGCGAACCGGGAAGTGAGCAGCGGGTCAGAAACGCGCAGGTTAAAATTACCTCGGTGGGAGACGCAGGAAGGCGATTACCGGGAAGGACGCCTTCCTGAGCTCACCTTCGGTAGCCTCCGGGTCAGTCCCGGGTTGCAAAGAGGCGGCGCCCAGATCCGTGTCTCCGGGAGCCTGCGGAGACTCGGGCGGCCGCGGGTCGACTTGGGGCAGGAAGGGACGCAGCCATTATGCTAACTGCTACTCCCCATTTTTCACAAAACTTTT